ACTGTACATAGAACATAGCACATTGTACATACCACACAGAACTCTGCATATACCACATAGCACTCTGCACATAGCACACTGTACATAGCACACTGTTCATAGCACACAGCACATGCCACATAGCGCACTGTACATAGCACACAGCACATACCACATGGCACACTGTATATAGCACACTGTACATAGTACACTGTACATAGCACACAGTGCACAGTATGTGCTGTATATAGCACACAGCACATACCACATGGCACACTGTATATAGCACACTGTATATAGCACACTGTATATAGCACACTGTACATAGTACACTGTACATAGCACACTGATATTCAATTCAAGATTACAGTTTTGAAAAATGGTGCCACTTGATGCTAAAGGGTTTCTGGAAGATTCCCCATTCATTTGACAGAAATCGTTGGCAGTTAATTTGTGTCTTATTTTGTCTACATACTTCTTCTGTCCTCTTTGGCTGTTGACCACAGAGTACTTGATTGTATGGTGATGACATTTTAAGTCTGGTTTTACATTTTTTATTTTTTTTTATCTCTTTAAGGTCCTTTTTGGCCCATTTTAATAGTAATAAAAATTTGCCTGATAATTCTCCACAGGCACGTATCTATGGTTTCCCGTTTTACTCCAGACAGAGAGTACTCACACTACGTAAGTACTCAGCGTGCTCTGTTTTTAAACAGTCCATTGTCAACTGGAGATTCATCTGGACAAAAAATATTGGTCTGAAGAGAAGATGTAATTCAAACACACACTTGCCTAATAATTTCGCACCCAGCATATACCAGTGGTTCTCAGTCTTAGTCCTGGTGCCCCAAGGCAAAATGTTTTCATTCCAACCCTACCTTAATCAGGCTTATATGGTCCTTAATAGGCTAATAATGAATGTGGCAGGTTGAAAGCAGTATGGGTTAGAATGAAAACAATCTGGGACAGGATGGAGAATCAGTGGGATGCTAGTAGCTCAAAAGAGGGAGAGACTCCGAGCACAATAGAGACCTTAAAAACATGCATGGCAAAGACTTTACATGCTAAACAAAGACTTTACTGAAATTTATTGAAAGTAACTGTGGAGGAAAAGTGTTTTTGTGCGATGCGTGCTTACGATAAAATCGTTACCCAACCCTAATCCATGTCCCCAGATGCAAACTGCGCATTTTCTCATCGGGCTGTTTACAGAGAGAGAATTACCCCGCCGATTACCAGGAGCAGGCAGTGTACTTATTTCCAGTTTCGGTCCCAGCAGGGCCCCCGCTCGGGCATCCAATCCAGGAGGCGCTATAGCAATCCTGCCCCCTCCCCATCGATATATTAAAATAGTAATTTCAGAGAAAGACCTAAATGCACTTAGAGGGGGTGGGTATAGAAAGCGGGGCTGACTTTATGGGGCTGGCTGACACGAAGACCCCCATTAGCGGGGTTCTGTGGGCGGGACTCCCGCTGGCCAATGGGCTCGGGGCACGTTTGCTTATTAGCGGATGAGCGGTTACATTAGCTGCACCTGGGCTTTCAAACACTTCACTCGCAGCCTCGAGTCACTGTGCACCTAAATGGCAGTGAGAGAGAGGAGTGATAAGAGACCCCCTCCTATTTAATGTCTATACATATCCGCCGTTGGCTTTATTTGAACCGATGTGTCATTGCCCGCATATTACCGTTAGATTCTCAAACTATTAAAAGCCCAGTGTTTTTTTCCCCTTTTTTGTTTGGGTGGCATAGTCTTCTGCTTTTGGTTAAATTTTTTTCGGGGGTGTATCGCACGTGCACCACCCTGCACGTGGGCCTTCGACTTGTTTTTATGGAGGGAGCTGATTAAACATTTAAAAGGCCCACCTTTGATCATGACCTGGCCTCCTGAGTAATTATACATGGACGCACATGTGCGTGGGTCCGTTTCAGTCCGGCAGGATTCGCCACAGCGACAGGCACCTTATTGCAGTCCCTTATCGTGGAGTCCGGCTGGGGGGGGGAGGGGGGGCACCAAATCGCGTTCACCTTGGTTAGGTAACGCTTTTGTAGCACAATGTTAGCAGACAGCACCGAAAGAAAAGTGTTTCCATTCACATTGTAATGCTTAAAATTTCAGCCTGTCGAGTCCTACAGGGGTGACGGTTTCGGGGGGGTAGTGTCTCTGGGAGTGCCCGCAGCGACCTTTAATGCTCATTTCAACACTCCTAGTGTTGTGTTATTTTTAAAATGTATTAATAGGCAATTCTCATGCATCTACAATATATATGACCAATTTTGCTGCGGAATCTGAACTGTATGTGTTTAATTACCATGGCAACACTGAAAGCCTTGCCAGTGCTAATTTTAAGTTTGAATAGGCCTATGGTGTGTCTGTCGAAAAATGCCAAAAGTCTTGTATTTTGTTTGGTTACTCATGGTTACGGTTAGGGCTGGGTAGGGGTTAAGGTTGCCATTGTTGGGATTAGGGTTTTGAAGAAATGAATGGACGGTCCCCACAAAGATATGAGTACAAACGTGTGTGTGTGGTGCGTGTGTGTGTGTTTGTGTGTGTGTGTGTGTGTGTGTATATACACACATCTGCATGGTCTTGCCAGGAGGCCGCTGGTTCGGCCCACAGCTGCCCATCTGCCATCGCCATGGCAGCCATAAGCAGCCACACCTGCTCCCCGCAGCACCACATCCATCCCGCTCTTCCCAAAGTGGCCATGACTGTAGTCATGGGGAAACCGAACACCGGGAGCCCGGCCTCAGTCACAGGCATATGCATGACTAATATTTTTAGAGCTTGCATTTATCAGTTTCGCCATGGCAACAGCAGTCTCGTGGCTGGGTTGGCCGGAGACCCGATTGGGGCGGGCAGGGGGTGTTTTTTTTTTACCAGCACGTGCCGCAAACTGTGGCTCAAATGGAATAAGGACTTATCAGCCTCAGACTCTTCAGGCAATTAAAATAATGACTGGGCCCCACAGCTGGTCCAAATACAGGCGCTAACCGTTAATCAGAATTGGTGTGACCAGGATGGCTCCTGCCTGCCTGCCTGTCTGTCTGTCTGCCTGCATGTCTTCCTGCCTGTCTGCCCGTATGTCTGTTTGCCTGCATGCATGTCTGTCTCTGTCTGCCTGCCTGCCTGCCTGCATGCATGACTGTCTGTCTGCCTGCATGCATGTAAGCCTGCCTGTCTGTCTGCTTTCCTGTCTGTCTGCCTGCCTGCCTGCCTGTATATCTCTCTGCCTGACTGAATGTCTCCATGTCTGCTCACATGTCTGTATGTCTGTCTGCTTGCCTGTATGTCTTTCTGTCTGTCTATATATGTCTGTCTTTCTGTCTACCTGTAAGTCTGTCTGTCTGTCTGTCTATATATGTCTGTCTTTCTGTCTACTAGGGGTGGAGCCGAACCCGAATACGGTATTCGGAAAGGCACAAATAATGTGTTTTTTACGAATACTTATTTCGAACAAATACTT